GGGCCGGGCAGCAGGAGTAGGGAACATGAGCAGGGAAACCAAGGCAGAAGCACATGCGTAGGAAGGGGAAGCTGTGACTCAGAAACCAACTCCTGCCTGCAGGGGTCAGGCATCTTCAGGTTGGGCCCCCTTCGGGTACATTTTTCAGGGTAGCAGTGCCTGATGGGCCCAGCCTGGGTCGGTGCCTGCCCCTGGCCAGGTGAGGGTGGAGCCTCCCTGTGGGTCTCAGCACCCTTTCCATATTCAGCAGAGGGCATGGTCATTCCCCCCAGCAAAAGCCTGGTGTTCTGGCCACAGGGAAAGGCAATGTACACGGAGGACGCAGACCTGGCAGCTGGAGGCCCCAGGGGTGGTGGCCTTGGGTCCAGAGCCAGGGTCTGGGCTGGGAAAGAGACACAGCACCTGAGGCTGATGCCCACAGCCCAAATGCCCTGTGTGCAAGGGCTGGCCTGTCCCAAGAGGTTGCCACGGGGACCCCAAGGTCAGCCAGCGCAAGCTTCTCTCCTCACACACTGAACATCGCTGAGTCACTTGAACATCACACACTGAGCACCCACTGTGTCAGGCCGAGGGTGGGGTTGCCCCAAGGGTACAGCAGTGAGTGCGGCCAGGTCCCTCTTAGACCACACACAGTGCAGGAAGACCTAGGCTGGCCTGAGGCCTAGAGTCTGGGAGGCGGTGGGCAGGTCCAGTGTGTGCTTAGGCCCGGTGAGTGGCTTGTCCTGGGGCAAGAGAACCTGCACTGGACAGGTCAGAGACTGGGCTTGGCAGTTCCAGCTGCAGAGAGCGGCTTGGTGCCTCTTGGATGTGTACCAGCCCCATCAGGGACCTTGTCGCAGGGTGGACACGCCCCTGACCCAAACCATATCCCCACACAGGGCCCTGGGATCCGTCCAGGTGTTCCTGGGGCCTGTCATCATCATGACTTTGATAACTGAGCTCGAAGGAATGACACAAAGTCACAACAACCGGGACGACAGGGTGGCGGGGATGCACATCAATGACGCCCATTTCAGTGCCCCACTGTAGTCTTCTCTGCTCCAGTAAGCAGATCGAGCTCTGTGCATAGTACTCCCTCCTGTACCACTGAGCCTTCTTCGCCACCACCCCAATGGCAGCAGACACCCCACTAACAGATGTGTAACGGCATCCTCACGTCATCTTTCGTTCATCATCTGTGGCACGCTGGATTGCAGGGAACCCGATGCGGGACTCGATCCCAGGACCCTGGGATCATGCCCTGAGCCTAAGGCAGACGCTCAACCGCTGAGCCACCCAGGTGCCCCCATTTTAGCCATTTTTAAGGGTACAGTTCAGTGGCGTTAAATGTATTCATACTGCTTAGCAGCCATCCTCACCGTCCATCTCCATAACCTTGGCAGCTTGCAAAACTGGAAGTCTGTCTCTGTTAAACACTAACTCCCCGACTCCCAGCCCCCCAGCCCTGGTAGCCCCCATTCCAACTCCTTGTCTCTATGAACAGGACTATTATAGTGCTTCATCTCCATGGAATCACTCAGCATTCGTCAATTTATAGCCGGCCTGTCGCATTTTGTGTACTCCCTTCAAGCCTCATCCATGGTGTTGCATGTGTCACAATTCCATTCCTTGTTAAGGCTGAACAATATTCCATTGTAAGGATAGTCCACATTTTGTTTATCCATTCACCTGTTGGTGGACACTTGAGTTGCTCCATCATTGCTTTTAAAAATTACCCCTGGACGTCCAAACCATAGAATGCCATGGGACAGTTTAAATAAACAAACAAACAAAGAAACAAATAAATAAAACAAAGACACTCTGCCCTGCTATGGAAAGATCCCCCAGGGATCCCTGGGTGGCTCAGTGGTTGAGCGCCTGCCTTCAGCCCAGGGCGTGATCCTGGAGACCCGGGATCAAGTCCCACATCAGGCTCCCTGCATGAAGCCTGCTTCTCCCTCTGCCTGTGTCTCTGCCTCTCTCTCTGTGTGTGTCTCTCATGAATAAATAAATAAAATCTTTAAAAAAGAAAGAAAGAAAGAAAGAAAGAAGAAAGAAAGAAAGAAAGAAAGAAAGAAAGAAAGAAAGAAGAAAGAAAGAAAGATCCCCCAAATGCATTGTCAGGGAAGAGAGCACAGGAGAATGTGTACAATATGCTGATGAAGACAGAGGGGGGGAATATGTATTTCTAGTTCTTTGTCTTTGCATGAAGCAGCTCTGGAAGAATGGACAGGAGGTGAATACAAGCAGCTCCTTATGGGACAGGGGCACATGGGGCACTCGCTCTTCACGTGGCTGTGTTTTGTACATGAGCATGTGATACCCCAGCACCCTGCACTCTCCCTGACCCCTGACTTAGTCACTGGCTACTGTCTCTTCAGGATGCACAGCCTGGCTCCTGCCACCCAAGCATGCACTCCCATGATCACAGCATGTCGCCCCCAGCGGGACTGAGCTCTCGTGCACGCTGAGCCCCCGGGCCTGACGGCTGAGTCTCTAGGTAAAGTGTCTCCTGTCCTCAGTTCTGAGCACAGACGGCACCACCCCTGCCCCAACCCTTCTCTGTGCTTCAGGCAGCCTGGAGCCCTTACTGGAGGAAAGAGGAGGCTGGTTTGTGCCTCTAGGGGTCCCCGTGTGGAGGCCAGGGGTGGGTTCCCACAGCCTGGTGCATACCAGCACACCTGCAGGAAGGGGCAGGAAGACTGGTGGGCCTTGACCACAGCTCTGACTTCACCTACCCTCTCTATAAAGGGAGCCATTACCCACCTCTCCCCTTGCCTGGGCACACCCTGTGGAGCACGTGCCTCAGTAGAACAGTCTGTCTGCACACATCTTGTCTGCCTTCCTCCACCGGCTCTGAGAAAGTGGGCTCGGTCCACAGTACCTAGGACAGTGCCACTCCACACAATAGCCAAGGGAGGGAGGCACCCAGAGACTGTAGCAAGAAACTATCCAGGAGACTCAGTTGGGGACACAGTGGGTGGCTGGAGGTCAGAGGGGTGACACCGGCAACCTGTCCACTCTCGACATCCCTGTGGATCATGATGGTCTGGTCTCCAGCCCCACTCCAGCTTCTAGCCTATTGTCCCAGAGCAGAGCTGAGTCTGAGCCCACCTCCCTCCCCATGTGCCCAACATTCCACATCCAGGCCCCAGTGGCACGCCAGGCCTGGAGGTGTTCTGGGTGCTTCCCAGCTCATCTCTTGAAGAGGTAGCATCCTGGCCTCCCCCAGGAAGGTTTCTCCCACACTGGTAGACCACCCTGTCCTGCAGAGAGGTTTCCAGAATCACCTTCACCCATGCTATTGGCTCATCTTTGTGAAAATTGGGCTGGGATCCAGGGCAGCCCCAACACTGCAGGGAAAAGGTGCCCGGTATCCAGGAGGAGGCACCACACTTTGCCAGCCCCATGTGTGTTCTTTCTTGTGGAGTGAGGCTTCCACACAGGGCCATGGGCACAATGCAGAGCTGGCGCCCACTCCAGAGCTGCCCAGCACTCCCCAGTGGGCACAGGCAGCCCCCTGTGTGCCCAAGTGCACGGCAGCCTCCCCACCGGGTTGGCAGGAGGTGGTTTTGTGACATTTTATAGTTTCATCAGCTAAGAATGGAATACTTCCAGCACTGCTGGGGAGGTGAAAATAAAGTTGCCTCTGTTGCCGGGGCCAGGGCTGGGCAGGCTGCCATCCACACTGGTTCCCAAGCCACCCTTGGGGGCCTCCTCCAATCCCCCCAACATCAGCTCTGACTCTGCACATCCTGACTCTATTTTCAGGGCCAGATAACCCAGAGGTAACAGGAGACAGACAGAAATGGGCCTGGGTCCCCATCTGTGATGGGCACAGCACAGGCCGGGTGAGCAGGGTGATGGGGAGACTCTGTCCCCTGGAAGGTCCTGGTAGTGAGCCCGCGGGACTCCATAGTTAAGAAGGTGGGGGTGACTTCAATGTCCAGCCTGGGGAATGGTGGTAAAACAGACACGGGCTTGGCCAGGACTCACCGCCATGAGCACCTTGAAGGCTTAGTTCAGGGAGACTTGCACTCAGGGATATGCAGAACCTGGCCGAGGAAACACAGGTCCAGGGCACATGCATGGACGGGCAGCTGCTGTGAGCCAGACCCTCGACTCACTGTCCGCTCAGAGCATGTGCCCCGAGCCCCCGCTGGAGGAGATTCGGGTGGAGACGTCACCATACAAACACTTATGGGGGCTTTCCTCTGCCCCCGGCACCACAAGCCGTATGTCCAGTGCCCCCAATGCCAACAAGGAGAATCTGGTGACACCCACTGGGGGTCGGGCCCAGCCTGGGTCAGGGTTACTGTAGGGAAGAAAGGGAAGGCTTCATCGAGGAGGAGGTGGCATTTCAGCCATGTCCAGAGGGATGGAAGTGTGGACACGGTGGGAGAGCCTTCCCATGGGGGAGACAGCTGAATGGGCCAATGGGTCTGAATCACAAAGAGCCTAGAATGCCAGGCTACGGAGGGGTGCCTGCAAGAGTCCCAGTTTACACAGGTTCACTCAATGGAAAAGCCCACACAGCAGTGTGCAGGTCCTCACCCAACGAACTCAGGAGTATGCCCACTTCCCTGGTGCTCTGTGAGCCAAGATGGCCCCAAGAGTGCCATTCTTCCAGCTCAGGGACCCCAAGGTGGAAGAGAGCTTCCACCAGGGTGCCATCTGAACCCTCCAGGTGGGATTAGGCCCAGTCCTGAACTAAGAGTTTTTGTGGCCAGGGGCAGGGGCAATGTGTTAATTATCTAAGCCTTGTCAAAAACAACCTTCCCCAGGGGTAGGAGTGGAAAGAGTCAGTCCCTAAGTGGCTTGGACAAAGAGTAGAGGAGGGTTGGTTCCTGATGGATGCTAGGCTGTGGGGGAGGGATCCCCAGCAGCCCTCCCAGGAAGTGATCACTAGGTTTGGATAGGCATCAAACCAGGAGGAAAGGAGGAATGACCACCGAGCCAGGAGCCCAGAGGAACCAGCGGGGCCCAGCGCAGGTGTGCCTCAACTGCTCCTCTTACTGCAGACAGGCATGCCCCGGACCCTGAACACCTCCGACATGGTCACTCCAGGCAGCCTTGGCCCACCCCCCACCAAGCCCACGGATGGCGAGCCGGTCGGGCAATCCCTCCTGGATGGAGCTCCCTTGTCAGCCTCCCTGGACACCCTGATCCAGCACCTGGTGCCCACGACTGACTACTACCCTGAGGTGGGTGACCTACCCGGCGGGGTGGAAGGGCACCAGGGAGTGGGCTCCCTTCCACCAGGCATGGGGGAGACAGTAGGGCTGGGGCTGGTCTTGTGAGTACGTGCTGCTTTCTCTGTGTCCCCCTAGAAAGCCTACATCTTCACCTTCCTTCTGAGCTCCCGCCTTTTCATCGAGCCCCAGGAGCTCCTGGCCCGAGTCTGCCACCTGTGCATTGAGCAGCAACAGCTGGACCAGCCAGTGCTGGACAAGGTAAGGGGCAGGGCAGGGGGCCCATGAGTAGATAGACATGCCCCTGACATGCCCTCATGCATCAGCCTCTTGGAGTGGTAGTGATTATCTTCATTCTCCTGAGGAGGAGCCCACAGGGGGCTTCTGATATGTCTGAGGCCCAGAGCTAGAAGGGACAGAGTTGAAGCCATTAAGCCCTGTGGGAGCCCCTGAGCTCACACCATGCCCAGAGCCCCACCAGTAGGACCCTTGCCATCTGGGATGGCCCTGCAGCATCTGCTGGGCTTCCTGCCCTCTGCACACTCTGTTCCACCCTGCCCTCCTCTATAGGTTCCCCATATTCACTCTGTCTCTGGTCAGATCCCAGGAATTGTGACTCTCTATTTATAGGTATGTCGATTGAGCTCTGCTGCTATTGTGATAGAAACCCAACTTCAACTGGCCTAAGATAAAGGGACTTTACTAGCTCATGGAACTGCAAAGTCTCAAGTACCACTAGCTCCTGGGGGCTCAAATGACCCCAATGGAAATGTGGTCTTTCTCCCTCCAACCCTCTGCTCTGTTTTTTTCTGGGCCGGCCTCACCCTCACTTGGGCAGGTTCTCCTCACACAATGACAGGTGGCCTCTGTCACTCCAGGCTCACCACCTACTCTTCCCAATTCAATGGCAAGAGCAATCCCCATTCTAAACAGGTTCCAATGCAAGTCCCGATCTCATTGGCTTAGCTTAGGAGACATGTTCATCTGTGAACCAATCACTGTTCAGGTTGGGGAGTGTACCATGTACTCTTTGACCAGCACTGATCTGGGCCCATGCCAGGGGACCTGGGGCAAGGACAGCTGCTTGGGGATGAGGGCTGGGGATGAGGGAGAGGGAAACCCCCAAAGCAAGCTGAGATGTTACTATCACAGAGAGAGAGATGGAATGCCCAGCAGGCAAACACAACAGAGGATACTGCCCCAAATGTGTCTGTCCCTTGCTGTTCCCCCATGTGGTCAGCCCCCATCCCTATGTCATGTCCCTGTCACCTGACCCAGAGAAGGCACAAGGGACACCTCCTTTGGCTACCAGAGGCACTGCCCTAGTAGCCCAACCCCAGCTAAGGATGCACAATGAGTGGCCAATGCGCTAGCTGATGGGGTCCTGCCTCTAGGCACCCTTCACCTTGCGAGGATGCTCCTTGGCTTGGCTTGCAGGCCCGGGTCCAGAAGTTTGGCCCCAAACTGCTCCAGTTGCTGGCCGAATGGACGGAGACATTCCCGCGGGACTTCCAGGAGGAGTCGACCATTGGGCACCTGAAGGATGTGATGGGCCGCATTGCCCCCTGTGATGAGGTAGGCAAACCTAGCACAAGTCCTACACCTGTCTGCACCCCTGCAGACAAGCCTGTTCCTGGGGCCAGCCTCAGGGCCTTCCCTCATCTTCTCATCTGTACCCTGCAGCCCCTGTAAAATCAGCCCTTTTCTCCATCAGGAAATTAGGCCTGCAGAGCTGGCAGGGAAACCAGGCCTCTCTCCTCCCCCGCACTCATACATGTCATCAGATGGCAAGCGAGGAAGGACCTACTCTTGTGATCAGGCCCATTGGTCAGTGACCCATTAGGCTGGCCTGGAGAGCCCTGGTTGGGGCAGAGGAAGAAAGAGGGGGCCCCCCTGTGGCCAAAACCACATCCCAAGGTACCACCCTAGTACTCTAGTGGCTTGGAAGACAGCCAGTGTAGTGGGCATCAGGTGCCTCTGTACCCCACTCTACCCTGTTCTCCCAGCTGTATTACTCTGGGGGTAAGACCCTTAAAGGTATAAGGAGGACAAAGATCCCCCCATCTCAGGGTATGGGTCAGAATACAGAGCAGGAACCTGTGAAGCAGAGGGAGGTCTCCTGGCACAGTCAGAAGAAGCAAGTGTAACAGAATCTCCAGAACAATTCTCCAGCAGTGCTCCAGTGGCCAGCACTGATGTGTTCCCTAGGACAGAACACAGCAGGGGGGGGTGGGTGGAGGATGCAGGTCAGTTGCCCTGGGAGGACGCTGAATGTGGCAAGCTGGTAGCTAGTCATGTGCCTCAAAGTGGGTCAGAAGCGACAGAGCCAGGTGCTTGTGAAACAAAGGAAAACTGCCAAGGCAGGATGGGCAATAGGGAGCCATAAAGCCCATAGCCTAACAAGCTCAGGGAAGGAGACCTTGCCTATGGGCCACTTCATATAGCAAACAAGTGACTTAGCCACTCTGAGGGCTCAGTGAGATGAGGGTCATCTCTTCCTCCTCCATCTCCTCCTCCTTCTTTCTTCTCCACCCCTTTCTCCACCCCCCCCTACTCCTCCTCCTCTGCATCCCCTAATCCACCTGGGGATCCTGACACTTGCCTTAGGATGCAGCAGGATATAGGGTCAGAGAAGACTCAATGATTGGATAAATCAAGAAGGATGGATTAGAAGCAGGGAGGGTATGCTGGCTGACTGGATGGATAGTTAGCTACTTTGATGGATGGGTAGAGGGGGGAAGATAGATGTTTGGATATTCTGATAGGAAGATGGATATTTGGTATGAGTGGATGTGGAAAGATTGATGAGTGGGGAGGGGGATGGATGGATGGATGGATGGATGGATGAGTTGATGGATGAATAAGAATGGATGGGTGGATGGATAGGTGGATGGGTGGATGGGTGGATTGGTGGATAGATAGTGAGTGGATGAATAAGGATGGATTGGTAGATGAGTAGATGGATAAATGGGTCGGTAGCTGAGAGGATGAACAAATAAGAATGGATTGATGGACGGGTATGTGGATGGATGAATAAGGAAGAATGGATGGGTCAATGGATGGATGGGTAGATATGATTAGATGAATGGATGGGTGGATGAATGGATGGATGGATAGATGAGTAGATGAATGAAGAAGTGGATGGATGGGTGGATGGGTAAATGGATGGATGGGTAGGTGAGTGGATAGATGAATAAGAATGAATGGGTGGATGGATGAATAAGGGTGAATGGGTAGGTGGATGGATGGGTAGATATGTGAGTGGACAGGTGGATGGATGGGTGAATGGATGGATGGGTGGGTGAATGGATGAGTAAATAAGGATGGATGGATAGATGGATGGATGGATGGAGAGATGAATGGATGGGTGGGTGGGTGGTAGAAGGTTGGGTGGGTGGGTGGATGAATGGGTAGGTGAGAGGGTGAGTGAGTGGGTAGATGGATGGATGGGTGGAGAGATGGAGAGTTGGGTGGGAGGGGGAGTGGGTCAGTGGATGAATGGGTGGAGGGATGGATAGGTGGATGGATGAGTGAGTGGCAAACATTAGGAAGGAAGGAGGAAAGATAGATGAGTAAATTGGGATGTGGGTATCATATAAAAGGAGAGATGGGCCCTAGCAGATGGGTGGATGCAGGGGTGGATGGATGAGGGTGTGCAAGGAGATGAGAGTCTCCTGCTTGAGCCCCTCTCCCCAGGAGGTCTTCAGGAGAATGAGATCTGAACCATCCACAAGACAAGACAGAACCATCCACCCTTGTCAGGCCTGCCTCTGCCAGTGCTGGAGCCGTTTCAAAGGCAGACCTTACCCTTCCAGCTGTGGTGGTAGGGATGGTTTAAGTCCTGCCTGGTTTCCTAGAGAAACAGGGCCTCCTTGCCAGCCCCTTAGAGCTGTCAGTCCTGCCACCAGGGCTGTGCTGGGAAATTCTTTCTAATCACGCTGTGGATGAGAAATAAGTGAGGCTTAGGAAGGGCTGTTGAGGGCAGCCATCCAACAGGTGTGGGTGTTCAGAGAACAAGCTCATTTGTTAACCTGGGATCCAGTCAGGTGTGCTGAGCACTGTGGGCTGGAATGAGGGTTCCTTGGCCCTACGCCCACCCACCCAGGCCCAGGCCAGGGGCGCTTCCATGTGTCTTTGAGATCTCCAAGTTGCCCAGTTGCCCTTAACAGAGAGCAGCCACTCCAAAGTGATATCCTCTGGGTGCTGCCTCCCCTCCCCTGGAAGCTGCAGGTGGAATGTGGGTGGCTCCCCTTCCAGCATGGACGGCAAGGGCTCAACCCAGAAAGGAGCTGGTCTGATCAGGCAGGGCCAGTAGGACTCAGAGCATGAGGTCTGGATGGGGTCGCCTGAGCTCACTTGGATCCAGGCTCCAAAACCACAGCTGTGTGGCCTTGGGCAAGGCGCTTCACCTCTCTGAGCTTTGGTCTCTTCATCAGCAAAACAGAGAAAAACAGTTGCCACCACACAACTTTTTGGCATCATGTGCACTCTTATTTTGGCACTTGGTATATGTGAGCTGTGATGAGGAACAAATTGTTTCCAAAATTCGGGTGTTTGGGGCCTACTTTTAAGCTTTTACTGTGGAACATTACAAGCATACACAGACAGAGAAAAACAACCATTAACTCCCGTGATTTCATCACCTAGGCTCAACAATCATCAGCATTTTGCCAAATTCACTCCTTCTATCCCTTCACACATTTCTCCCTCCCACCAAAGTATTTTTAAACATTGCATCTTTGGCTCCAAAAATATTTCAACATTTTGCTGTAAAAGATTTCTCACACAGGGATCGGGTCAGATGATATAAAGTGCCATGCGCAGGTCAATGAAATGAGCCCGAGTGTTTTCAGAGCTGTGTGTCTTTGGGCAAGTTACTTGACCTCTCTGAGCCCTAAATGTCCTTCTATAAAGAGGGAGGGTGATCAGGGCTATGAGATAACAGTGGGGCCCAGGGAAGAAGAGTAAACAGCATGGGGCCAGGGGCCAAGGGGGCTTCCTCATCCGAGGACCAGAAAAAGTACCACCTCTCGCATCTGCTGCCCCCGCTCCTGAACCCCCATGTCCTTCCTTCACTACCCACCGCCTGGGAACAAAAGGCCAGAGAGGAGCTGAACAAGCCCTACTCCATGACCAAACATGGAAGCTTCCCCAGCATCTGGCGGTGGCACCGAGGTACCTGCTCAGGGCCACCCTGTGTGAGGCAGGGAAACCAGCCTTGGAGGGGGTACTGGTAGGTTGGACTCAGTAGTCTGGGTTCAGGGAGGCCAGTGCCGAGGCTGAGGATGGGAATCCAGGGAAGGTTGCGAGGTCCCAGCTCCAATAAGGGAGACCAGACAGGAGGACACTGGTGTCCTGGCCACACCCGCTGGATCAGCTGCAGAAGAGCTGTACCCTGGGCCCTGTGGGGGACTGGCTTGCTGTCCCCTTTCCACGACTACCTGCTGGGCTGACCCTGCTGCCCTCAGAGGCCCCCTCGCCCAAGGACACAGGTGGTCAAAAGCTGACACTGAAAATAACTGTGGCAGGTGAGGAGCTTCTGCCCACACAGGAGGGGGCTGAGCCCATTGCAAGTCTCCTGGGCTCACTGAGGTGGGATTTTCGAGAACTTCAAAGATAGAGGCCCATGGCTGTCCAGGCAGAGAAGAGGCTGGATAACGACAGCCTTCATCCCTGGACGACCCCTGCACTTGAAACCCAGCTTCATGTATGCAGCAGGTGGCTCCGTGGATTGCATGCGCATGAGCTACAAGGGGAAAGTCTCTCCCACGTTGGGCATGCCCCGGGACTCTGGAATCTGAATTCCTGATGGCGACAAGGGGAAGCCTCAGCATCCTCAGAGCCAGGTCTCTGGGTCTGCTCAGACGTACCTAGATCTCTCAGCTTCTATCCATGATTCCCAGGGTGTAGGAATCATGAGACAATGAGAGAAGGTGAAAGAGAAGGATAAATGCCATCCCCATATTCAAAGGGGGTATAGAAGATTCAGGAAAGAACCAACGGATAAGCTTGAGGTGAACACCACCAGAAAAATTCTAAAGGAAACAGAAAATGATAATCATTCGGAGTACTGGTTTAGTAGAAACAAGTCTTGGGAAATTATCTGCGTTTTTTTTTTAAGATTTATTTATTTATTTATTTATTTATTTATTTATTTATTTATTTATTCATTCATTCATTCATGATAGACACAGAGAAAGAGAGAGAGAGAGAGTGAGGCAGAGACACAGGCAGGCTCCTTGCAGGGAGCCCGATGAGGGACCCAATCCCGGGACTCCAGGATCGCTCCCTGGGCCAAAGGCAGGTGCCAAACTGCTGAGCTACCCAGGGATCCCCTATCTGCGTATTTTTAAAAGAGGGTAAGCACATGGTTCTATCAAACTACAGACACAAACACAGTGTGCCCCTGACCTCAGAGGGGCTCCACGGTCTACGCTGGCAAGGCCGACCAGCCAGAAGCAGGTGAAGGCCACATTCATCCAATCGGCACATGTGTGTGAGCCCTTCCCATGTCCTTTTTGCTGGGGATGAGCAGAGAGTGACCTGGTCTGATCTTCATGGAGCTGGTAGTGCAAAGAGGAGATACACGATCCCCTGGTCCACGCTCAGCCAAGGGTTGAAGGAGGCCTGGTGCTCTGAGGTCCCAAGGATGAGAGGAACATGCAGGGAGAGGCTGCACAGGCCCTGCCGGGGTCTCAGGCGAGAGGAGCAGGAGGGGCCTGTGCCTGGAGCACTGAGAAGGGTAGCAGGGGCCATGTGGAGGCCACCAAATGTGGCCGGAGCTGACTTCAGGAATCCTGAGCCCCACGGGGCTTCTGTCTTTGCAAAGGCACTGGGGCATTTTAAGGAACACGTTAGATGTGCATTTTCAACAGACCTGCTCTGGCGGCAGAGTGGAGTGGAGAGGCTGGCACAATGCGCCCACCCCACCCCCTGGCCCAAGGGCCTCCTGCAGCCACAGGGACACAGCAATGGCCTATACCACAGACACAAAGCACGGAAATGGCAGGAAGCAAAATCAGGAGGTGGCCACCAAGGACAAGGGGAGTGAGAGGTCCACTCACACACACTGGGTGGGGGTGGCCCCGTGGCCGAGTGGCTCCAGAGCTCAGAGAGGCTGCATCTGTTCAGCTGGATGCTGTCCATGCAGACACTGAGTGACACACTGGGACATGAGGCAGCATGCCTAGGGACAGGGACAGACTGCAGGGAACAGAGGGCTACACAGAGGCAGGGCAGCAGAAGGACGGTGCAGAGAGGCCTGCCCACAGCCTGAGGCAGGAGGGACCGGAGGCAGGTGCAACCTGGGACGGGGCCCGGGGATGCCTCCCTCAGAAGGTGGCCATGAATGAGGCCACATGGGCCAGGGTGGAGGACAGGGCATTGGGAGGAGGGAACATGATGGCAGTGTGGCCGCCCAAGTGAGGAGAGAGATGGGGCCTGGATGGGCATTGGGGCTCAGCACGCACTCAGTTCCCTATTTTCCCAGCATGCAAACGAGAACCGGACTGGCAATGTGCCAACCACACTCTCAGACTCAGCAGAGTTGTTCCTTCCACAGGTGACGGATGGAAGACTTGGACCTCAGTTTACCCACATACTGTCCAGTGGGCCTGCCCCCACCAAGGCTCTGGGAGCAAGATTTAGGGTTTGGGTTTGGTTGAGATTAGCAGCCTCCTGTCCTGGTTCCTGTATCCCAAAGGCTCTTGTCTGAGGCCCCTTGACAAAGAAGCACTTCCGAGAGTGCCAGATGATGCCACCTTGGTCACCGGAGCTCTGGGCACCAACAGTGCTGGACTTCCCAGCCCCCTGGAGCCCTGTCAGGCTTGGGGAAGCACTGAAGCCTCCCATGCACACTTGGCCCAGCTAGCCAGATGCCCCACCTGCAAGCATTTTTTATGTGTTTCAAAGCAGCATGAGAAAGCACACTTTTTTAAAAAAAAAAAAGATTTTCTTTATTTATTCATGAGAGGCAGAGATATAGGCAGAGAGGGTAGCAGGCTCCATGCAGAGAGCCTGATGTGGGACTTGATCCTAGGACCCCGGGATCATGACCTGAGCCAAAGGCAGATGCTTAACCACTGAGCCACCCAGGTGCCCTGAGAAAGGACGCTTCTATCCGACGGTATCCGGCCGCACCAGCTCCTGAGCATCTGTTACCCTCCCAGGCCCCTGGGGCCACTGGGCACCCTCCTGCCTGCCTGATGGCTCATCATTGCCAGGAGGCCAGGCCCAGACACTTTCCACTGCTCCCAAGCCAGTTCCCCCTGGCTTGTGGGGCTTGAATCAACCTCTGGGGGCGGGGGGCATTTGCTGACCAGTTTGGGGGTTTCTCCTGTGGACAACTGATCAACCCCTTGGAAGCATGGGCGTCAAGCTCACTAAACACAACCATGTCCAATGATGTCTTTCTTGGAGACAGGGGTCCCTCAGGGGGAAATAGAGCCCATGCCAGGGAGGGTGTGGGTATGGGAGGGCAGGTGCCCTCCAGGTCACCACACCCCATCCAGGGTGGCCCAAAGCAAGAATGCATCCGTGCCAGCTGCACGGTGAGATACTTTTGTCAGTGTGAGCGATTATTCAAGGCCTACAGTGTGCTCAGAGCCAGGCCTCGATCTGCCGACACAGGGGGCCGCTCAGGCTTCCCTGCCCCTGCCGAGCTGCCACTCTAGTGAGGTGGTAAACAGCCCTGGTCATCTCCCACGGTGGTCCTATAGGGAAGTCACAGAGGGTGACCTGAACAAGTACTGTCGGGGCACAGATGGGGCTATGTCACTGGTCAGGAAGGCCTCTCCAAGTCAAGAGAGAGGAGGGCCTGGGTGGGAACCCCCATGACAGCTGGGCAAAAAGCCAGTACCAGGGGCAGGGCCCATTCCATGCCTTCCTCCTCTCTCCCCGCCTCTCCCTGGTGGCACGCCCCAGCCTGCCCCACAGCCCAGAGAACTGGGGCAGCCCTGGGAGTCACCCTCCCTGGCATGGGCTCTTCTGGTAATCCTGCAGCCTTTCCCCACTGCCCTGGGCTGGATCCTGCTTCAGGGTGGGGACAGGAGCAGGCACCCCTAGCCACAGCTCACATCCCAACTGGCCCAGAGCCTCAGACGCTAGACGCGAGGAGATGGGTTTGAGGCATGAGCTCCTCCCTTTCCACCTCCCCTCCAGGCCTACCGAAAGAGGATGCATCAGCTCCTACAGGCTCTGCACCAGAAGCTGGCGGCTCAGGGCCAGGGCCCAGAAGGCGTGCTGGGTGCCGACAAACCCATCTCCTACAGGACCAAGCCGCCAGCCTCCATCCACAGGGAGCTTCTTGGCATCTGCAGTGACCCCTACACTCTGGCCCAGCAGCTGACCCATGTGGAGCTGGTGAGCAGGCCTGTGCCATCCTCTAGCCAGACCCAGAGGCAAGGACAGCTGAGAACCAGCCATCCCTGGTCCTCACCTTGGCTCAGCGTACCCCAGGGCTTGAGCCCGTCACAGCAGGGCCAGCCGGGCACCTCTAGGATGCCCTGGCTCTGGAGCAGTCTCTCACCTTCCAATAGGAGGGCTGCACGTGCTAGGCCTACCCAACTTTGACCCTTGGCCTGCCTGAGAGGATGGGCCTAGGACAGAGGAACTGGGTCCCAATCCTGGCTCTGCCACCCCCTGCTGTGTGAGCTTCCTACCACTGGTGTCTTCCCTACCAGGGCCTCAGTTTCCCCATCTAGGACTCACAAAGACTGCACCCACCCACCTTCTCCTTCTGGAGAAGTCCGATAGGCTGGACTCTGGATACATGCAGCCTAGCCTTCAGCATGTTGGATTCCTTGTACATGCAGAGGCCAAGGGGCCTGTCCCAGACAGAGGGGAGGTGGGGGAGTAGGTTTCTTCTCTTTTAAACCTCTGCCACCACCATTTATGGCTCCCTGACTGCTTTCTGGTGTTATACTCAGCACTCTATGTGTACTATCTCAGTTCATCTTCCCACCACCCTGTGTGGAAGGTGCTATTATTATTCCCTTTGAATCAATGAAGAAACAAAGGTCCAGAGAGTTTAAGTGACTTGCCTGAAGTCACACAGTAAAAGGGACAGAGCCAGGATTGAATTCTAACCCAGACCCTGGGCTCTTGGCCACTAGGCCTCCCCTGGAGGAAGCAGGTAATTACCCAGTTTCCAGCCTGGTGTCCTGGGTATCACACCTCCCAAGCACCCCTTTTGGGGACATTGCCTCCTGCCCCCCATGAGCTAGGGACAGCAGCCCTTGGGCATGGTTTCAAGCTCTGTGACAACCCAGAACGGGGTTGTGGAGCACTTGTGAGAAGGGCAGGTGTCCAGAGACCCTCCCGGGGTGGGCTGAGGGAACCTGCAGGAGGACATGCCAGCCCCCCAATGCCATGCCCTGCCCATGGGTCCCCCCCTTCCCGACTCCTCTTCTCCTTCTGGTGCAGGAACGGCTGCGGCACATCGGGCCTGAAGAGTTTGTCCAGGCTTTTGTGAACAAGGACCCTCTGGCCAGCACAAAGGTAGAAGGCCCTTGGACAGGCCAGCCCACTGGGCCCTCGGGGGAATGCCACGAGTGTCAGCTGGGCGAGCTTCCGGGGGGCCCAGAGCAGAGCAGATGGGCTTTGGGGAGCTGTGCCCACTCCATCCCTGGCCCTCCAGCTTGCCCCCCAGCCCGAGGGCCTCAGACCCCGACAGCCCTGAGTCCTGGGGAAGCCACCTGTCACCAACCCAGCGGGGGCGGATGCGGGGTGGGTGTGGAGCTGAGGCCGCTGGGTCCGGAGGAGAGGGGAGGGCGCCCCAGGTGCGCTGCAAGACCTCCAAGCTCTCTGGGCGCGTTTCGGTGGGCGCTGGTGCCCTCCAGGGGCCACCCGGGGTAGCGCGCTAGTGGGCTTTTGCCCTCTGGCTTAATAAAAGAAGAGCAACTCTATTTAGAATGCATTTTCCCCTCTCAGATAAGCAAAGATTAAGCATTGTGGGTATGTAGGGGAAGAAGCACACGCGTACATGGCTGGTACAGGGTGAAACTGGCACGGCCGCTTTGAGGGGCATCTTGGCAATAGTATCAACACTTGAAATGTACACTCCTGACCCCAACTTTATGCGCCTAATAATTTATCCTACGGATATACACACGCACGTACACGAAGATGTGTGCATGAAGATATTGTGCACTATTACGGCCAAAGGCTAGAAGCAAACTGTCTTATCATCCTTGGGGACTCAATTACAAGTTATAGTATATCCACATATGGAATGCTATGCATCTATTACAAAGAATAAGTGACTAGAAGTATAGAATACCCAGATCCACTATAGAGAGAAAAAACTAGAGTGAAGGTCAGGACAAAGAGGATGTGGCCATTTGTGTAACGACAAAAGGTGGGTGCGTGATACCTGTTTGCACAATCCATGCCTGTGAACAATCTCTAGGAATATGGGTTACTCGCAGGAGCCCAGCTTAGGGGTGGGGCTTGGAGTGGAAAGGAGACTGGGCCACTCTTAGCTGGTTGTTCTTTATGTTTGGTTTTGCTTTGGGGTTTTGGCCATCTCCAAGAATTACTTAAGTTTTGTGAAGTACATCTAAGATTGCACGTGACCTCTCTTCACCCATCTGTGGTAGATGGACATTTGTGGTGTTTCCAGCCTCTTGATTATAGATACTGCTGCTACAAATGTTCTTACATGTTTCCCTGTACATTGGTGCGTATTTTTCTAGGGCATCAGTTCTCAAATAATTTGGATTTAGGATCCCTTTAGACTCTTAAAAATTATGCAGGACCCCCAAAAACTTGGTTATGTAGATTATATCTACCCATATTCATCATATTAGCTTTTAAAACTGATAACTGTAGGGCAGCCCTGGTGGCCCAGCAGTTTAGCACCACCTTCAGCCCAGGCTGTGATCCTGGAGTACTGGGATCCAGTCCCACATTGGGCTCCCTGCATGGAGTCTGATTCTCCCTCTGCCTGTGTCTCTGCCTCTCTCTCTCTCTCTCTCTCTCTCTCTCTCTCTGCCTCTCATGAATAAATAAATAAAATCTTAAAAAAACTGATAACTTTTAAAGATATTTATTTATTCAAAATAGCAATAATAACCTATTACAGCTTCACATAAGTGGTATATTTTATGGAAATAACTAGATTTTCCTAAGTAAAAAATTCTTGGGAAGAATGATATTGTTTTACAGTATTCTTACAAGTCTCTTTAATAACCAACATAACAAAAAGACAGCTAGGTTCTCTTACCTGCTTCTGCATTCAATCCCTTGATGTACATTATTTTGGTTGAAAATCCAACCTCTCACAAATATATAGTTGGAAAAGGGAAGAATATTTTACAGCATTTTCAGATGAGTGAATATTTTCCTTTGATACTATGCTAAAATTCAGCAGGTTTGTAAAGATTAATTGCAATTTGGAATCTGAAAATATACCAGTGGACTTTCTGTGCTCTATTACATTAAAATCCATTGGTCCATCTTGCATCTTGAATGGATCTTTTGCTCCTGCATGATATTACAACATCATACATCGGACATTTGGAAACTATGAGTTCACTGAATTGGGCAGATCCTCCAAATGTTGGTACATTTCATTATACAACATTTTTAAATCATATCCACTAAAATCATTACTGATCTTATCCTTCCAAAAAAAGCCCTTGAGTATTGGGAAACTCTCAAGATCACAGAGGAAGATACATATTTTACAAGTTCCCAATTCTCTGTTGAGATCTTGAATTTTAACATTAGCAACAAACACTATCAATTGTTTTCTTGAAGTGACAGGCTCATTTTGTTGGTTTTCAAGAAAATATCAACCAAATACTGAAGTCCGAAAAACCATAGTTGGTCAATCCTTTGAGTAGAAATGGTGTTTCATGAGAAAAGTGGCCAGTACTGCTCACAAGTCTATCACACTACTGCTTTTCCTCAAGACTTGACTTCTGTATGCAGAAGTGCTTTTATGTACTGCTTTGTCATGTAGAATATCAAAGAGATGTGTGCACAAGATTGAGATTTGATAGGATTGAAAAGTTTGCTTCCTCGCGGACATTCTGAAATCACACTCAATTTTTTTCTTTGACTATGAACATGTGATAGTGAAGAACGTAATGACCATGAGTATGGTTTGATGACTCTGCCTTGTTTTGGGCTATGTTGGGAGCGATTTTACCCACTATTCTTTTACACATCTGTGCAAATGTCAACACACTGGAAAGATAATGACACTGTGTGAATATGAAACTGGTTGTGCCCTTGAAGAATTGTCACTCCACAATATACCTAAGAGGGAAATCACACTGTCACAGGCGATGCCAGGTGAGGCTGTACCCATCAGCACTGCCAGCAGGGAGGTATTCCTTCTCCACATCTTCAATGACACTTAAAATTGTCAAACTTTTACGTATTTGTCAAACTGTTAAAGGGAGCATCTTTTCATATGTTTTGAACATTCCTGTTTTCTGTGAAATGCCTGTCGTCCAGTTTCCTATTGGGGTGATTTGGCTTTTTCTTGAGTATTTTAAAAGAGGTTTTTTTATTTTTTTAATATTCTGTATTTTTTAAAGATTTTATTTATTTATTCATGAGAGACACACAGAGAGAGAGGCAGAGACATAGGCAGAGGGAGAAGCAGGCCCCCCAAAGGGAGTCCAATGTAGGACTCAGTCCCAGGACCCCGGGATCACAGGCTGAGCCTAAGGCAGACGCTCAACCACTGAGCCACCCAGGCTGCCCTGGTGTTTTTAATTTTAAATTCATCAAATTCACTAACGTTTTCCTTTATGTTTTTTTAGTGGGGAAGGGAGTAAGAAATCCCTCCCTACACCCTACCCAGCTCATAAATATAATCTCTAATGTTTTCTTCTAGAAGTCTTAGAATTTTGCCCTTCACATTTAAGCCTTGGATTTAAAATTCATTTCGTGGATATGGCCTGAATTGGAGATCCACGTTCATGGTTTTACCACACAAATAGCAACTTTTCCTACACCATTATTGATGTATTGTCTTGCTCACTAATACGCCCCAACGGTTTTGTCACTATCATATGTCAGGTTCAATCAACATGTGTAGATATGTTCCTGGACAGTCTGTTCTGTCCACTGGTCAATTTTTCTATCTCTGTATCAATATACACTATCTCCATTATTGTGGTTGTATGATAAGTTTTTTCTCATTTTCTAGTGAAGGAAAGCCTCTGGTTCTTCTTTACAAGTCACTGAGATATTCTTGGTCTTGTTTTTCTATTTGAAATTTTGTATCCCTTGTCAAATTCAGTGAAAAATATTACTGGGATTTTGTTAGAATATATGAAATATGGACCAATTTAGGAGGAATTTGCGTTTTCATGATACCGAGTCATCCGACCCATACAAATGGTGTGTCCTGCCATTTACTTAGATCTAATGTTTTACTTTCTAATGTTCTATAACTTTCTCCATAAAAATATTAAACAGATTTAGTTATATTTTCCCTCTGAGTTCCTTATGCATATTTTTGCTATTATTTATGGCATATTCTATTGTACTTATTTCTGAACTGCTTCTGTCATTTAAGGAATGTCATCAACTTTTGTATGTCAACTTTGTATCTGATGATACTGTACATTCTTGCTATTTCTCATAGTTTTTCTTAATTCTTTGGTGTTTTTCACATATACAGTTACATCATCCAAGAATAGTGACAGTTTTTTCCTTCCTTCCCAATCCTTATTCTTTTTATTTTTAGTGTAGTCATACAAAGAATCCTCCACTGATATGAGATGGACATGAATAACATATGGGTCCCATGTTGTACATCTCTGAAACATTAGGATTATTAGTTGTTGCAGAATAATCCAGCTAAGTCTGACCAAATTTGTTTTTCTTGCTTATTGTGCTAACTAGCACCCCTGGCAAAATATTTAAGAACTGTTGCTAACTGACATCCTTCTTTTGTCTTTATTTTATTTTAAGATATTATTTATTCATTCATGACAGACAGAGAGAGAGAGGCAGAGACATAGGCAGAAGGAGAAGTAGGCTCCCTGCATGGGGCTTGATACAGGACTTGATCCCAGGACCCCGGGATCACAGGCTGAGTCAAAGGCAGACGCTCAACCACTGAGCCACCCAGTTGCCCCTTTTGTCTTTATTTTAAACAGAATATTTTTACATGTCACAATAGAGTATGATGTTTGCTCTGAGATTTTTTTCAATGACCTATATCAGCTCAAGGAAGTCCCATGGTCCTACTTTGCTGAGAATTCTTATCACGAATGATTATTGCATTTTATCAACTATTTTTTTCTGAGTCCATTAACCTTATGTTCTCTTCCCTTTCAAACTGTTACATGATTATTTTATACAGGAGTCCCCCTCTTTATCTGTGGGGTATATGTTCCAAAACCCCCAGTGGATGCCTGAAATCATGGATGGGACTGAACCCTATATATACTACATTTTTTACTACACATGTTATGATAACACTTATGAATCAGGCACACTAAGAGATTAACAACAATAACTAAAAACCAAATAGAACAATTATAACAGTATACTCTAATAAAAGTTATGTGAGTGTGGCCCCCCTCTCTCAAAATATCTTATTACATTGTACTAACCCTTCTCCCTGTGATGATATGAGATGATAAGATGCCTACGTGATGAGATGAGGTGAGGTGAAAGCCATAGGCAGCGTGATGTAGTATTAGACTACTACTGGTCATCTTGCTTCTGGACCATGGTTTATGCCAGGTAATTGAAACCACAGACAACAAACCATGGATAAGGGGAGATCTATTGTATTAGTTGGGTTTTTTTCTTTTTCAATGTCAAACCATCCTGGCATTTTTGGAAAAAAAAATGAAACTGAGTTGTGATCATTATCTTTTTTGTACACCCTTAGGCTCAATTTGCTCTTATTTTGTTTAGGATTTCTGCAACTATAATCATGTGATTGACTTGTCAGTTTCCTTTCTGTTCCCGTTCTTGTCTAGTCTTTGTTTCTCTCTCCCTGTTCTCTGTTCTGTGTTCCTGGACCATTTGGTAGAATTTGCTAGTGAAACCATCTGAGTCTAGTATTTCCTTTTAGGGAAGACTTTTATGTAGCTGTTCAAGATTTTCCTTGTTTTAGTAATTTTAGGACTATTTAGGCTTTCTATTTCTTCTTTACTCTGTTTAATTTATATTTTTCCAGAAAGTTGACTCAGTCCTCCTAACTTTTCACATTTATAGACGCAAAGTTATTCACAATATTCTCTAGTTATCTTTTCAATCTTTCACACTCATATTCACAACTAATCTTTATATTTATCTCTCCATTTCTTCATCAATCTTACTAAGCATGCATCAGGGTTTTTTTTTTAAGATTTTATTCATTTATTCATGAGAGAGAGAGGCAGAGACATAAGTAGAGGGAAAAGCAGGCTCCACGCAGGGAGACTGACACGGGACTCGATCCCGGGTCTCCAGGATCAGGCCCTGGGCTGAAGGCGGCGCCAAACCACTGAGCCACCCAGGCCGCCCCATTCATCAGTTTTAGTAGTCTTTTCAAATAAAGAGTTTCTGGCTTCATTGACTCTATAGAGAAAAAAATGAAATAGTGAAGAAAGATGCAACACATAGAGTAAATCTTTATTATTTCCTATCATCTGCTTTCTTTGGATTCTTTCTTTGTTATTCTTTTTCTAATTTTTTATGTTGGATGTTCAGCCTGTTTTTATTCTTTCTTCTGTCCTAATAAAAGTATGAAAGACTATTCGTTTCTTTCTAAATGTATTTTTTATTTTCAGCCTCCAAATTTTGTCTTTCAGCATTCTCATTTTCATTTCCTTGGTGACTTTATCTTTGACCCATAGATTATTTTTAAATGTGTTTTTAGGTTTCTATTTGAAAAGAATACACATTCTCATATGATTGAGTGCAGGCAGGCTTCCAGACTTGTTCATTAACTCAACTACGTAAATTGTGTTGCTTAAATTTATATTTATAACTGTTTTTTTAATCCCCATAGTCTATGCATTGCTGTCATTGTGTTAAAATCTCCCACTGTGGCAATATGATTTGATTTCTTCCTACAAAGGAGTTTACCCTTCTGACTATATTTGCCTCCATATTTTGAGGCTGTGTTGTTAGGCACAAGCAAGTTTAGATTTGTGACCTATTCTTGATTAATCAAATCTTTTATCATTATGCAGTTACCCTTGAATCTCCTCTGGTGCTTTTTGCCTTAGAGTCTTTTTTTGCCTTAAAATCTACTTTGTCTAACATTAGTACAGCTATGTGATATTCATTATATATATTTTTCAATTTTTTTACCTATATCCTTGGGCTTGGGGTGTGCCCCACTACTTGAAAATAGCAAGTAGCTGGAGTTTTAAAATTATAGCAACTGTAATTACCGACTTATATGGGTTCAGTTTTACCACCTTCTGTGCATCCTTCACTTGTCTTCCCACCTCTTCCTGTCTTTTCTCTCCTTACTGTACTTCTTTTGGATTAATAGATCCCCTGTTCCATTTTCCCCTCTACTTATCGAAGGTCACACTGAAAATTTCAATGTGGATATTGAAGTCAACTTGAGTTTAATCTGTTAAATGGTGGTGCATTTATGCAGTTGAATTTTTTAAAATATTTTAATTTATTCATAAGAGACATAGGCAGAGGGAGAAGCAGGCTCCCTGTGGGAAGCCTGATGTGGGACTTCATCCCAGGAGTCTGGGATCATGGCCCGAGCAGAAGGTCTCATGACCTTCGTGATCATGATCCCCCTGGGATCACAACCAGAGGCTCAACCACTGAGCCACCTATGTGCCCCTGCAGTTGAATATTTTACCTCAATTGAAAAATTATATTTCCAAGGGATATTTTATGGCATGAAAAAGTTCATGTGGAAAAACATGGAAATATATATATAATTATATATAGATAGAAAGAAGCCCACATACAGTTGACTCTTGTTATTTAACATGATTATATCCCATGATGTCATCATGAACATACCACTGCAGTAAATACCACTGCTCCCAAGGGAAATACAGGGTTGGATCCCTTGCAAGCCTCACACCACATTTACATCAACCAGTCCATACATAGCCTTGCATTGTGTGTGTGTTTAGCTCAAAAACACCTTATTTAATATATATTGTTCTTCCAATAACATTGAACTCATAGCCAGCAGTGCCATGACTCATGTCTGAGTGAAGCTTATCTAACACATATTTTCTCCTTAGGGCACATCACAGCCTTCAAATGCTTAGAAGCTTTAGTGCTAGTGCTTGGAGCGCTTTAAGCAGGGAACTCACCATCGCACTGAATAGACCACAAGAAAAAGAAAGACTTGTTCACAGTATGGGAGCTGAAACAAGAAACCAGGTTGTCACTTAGCTCAACCTCAGCTGGGAACACACAGGCACTTTGGGTGACTCAGATTTTTTTTGCCACCCTGCACATATCCATGAATGACAGTGAAAGTGACAGGAATAGTGATTTGAGGTCACAAATATATTTTTAGCAAGCAGACATATTCACAAATACAGAATCTATGAATAACGATAATCAACTGTGAGTGGGGTATATATATACATATGCAATTACATATTATGTATATCATATTAAATTATGTCTTTGTATAGAAAAAAGGCTGAAAGGATATACATCAAATCACTGATATTTGTAAATGGTTTTAAGGTTCCAGCATTTTCTGGATTATCTATAATAACAACAAACTGATTTCATTCCAAAAGTTGACAGAGAGACTGAGTATGGTCCTTGTGTCTTTCCTAGCCTTGTTTCAGTGAGAAGACTACTAATCTGGAGGCTTATGTGAAATGGTTCAACAGATTGTGCTACCTCGTGGCAACTGAGATCTGCATGGTGTGTAAAAAGCTGGTGGGGGGGGGCATGACCTGGCACAGCCGAAGGAGACCAGGGACATGATCTAGCATAGCCAAAGGTGGCAGGGGTTGGGGGCAGGTCCCTTGGAGGGAACCAGAAGGGTATCTTGAGCCTGTCTGTTTCCAAGCCCAAGATCAAGCTGAGCACCTCTCTGGGACACCAGGTGTCACCCAGCTTGCATGCAATGACATTTCCCTCTGGGTAGAGCCTGGCACAGATCCACTGGACTCTGACAGAGAGTGCCAGGGACCACTTGCCGAAGGTGTAAGAGGCAGTTTACTGCTCTGCCAAGTGGCTCTGCTCCCTCCATCTGTGCCTGTCTGCCTTGGGTAGGCCCGGCCAGCAGCCATGCTGTGTTTGCCTCTCTCAGGATTTAGAATAGAAATGACCCAACCTTTAAGAATTGGGAGATTGTACATGTAAAGTCCAGGTCTCCAGCTTCTCCCAGAAATCAGGAAGACTTGTCAACACCAAGCCAGATGCACGAGTCACAAGTCATGGTCCCTTAGGACCAGACCCTGTTTGCTCTCTTCACTTCCTTAGACTGCAGGGATCCTCCTCCAAGCCCCCCTCACCATAAGGTGAAGCCCTAGGGCACTTTTATCAGGGAATGATTGGAAGCAACTTAGGTGCCAGGTGGAGGTCTCCAGGAGCAAATGCTGAGATAGAAATTGGGAGAACAGAGAAAGGGGCAGGAAGGCTCAGAAGGAGAAGCTGGTCTGCGGTGCCTCAGCCTTGGGCTGAAATGCTTGGCCTCTATCCCCCTCCTTGCTCAGCCATCACTGTCACCGCATAGGCTGCCTGGGAGGGACAGGAAGGACCTCAGGAGGGAGGCTTTCTGAAGGTGGTTCAGGCAGCATGTCTCATGCTTCTTGGTAAAGACCACTGCTGCACATAAGTCGGGCAAGCTAAATCTGTATGGGGAGAACAGAAGATAGGGTGCTCAGGCCCCCCTGCTTCCTGCATTTCCATGTCTGGCCTGACAGCTCAGATGGGGCTTTACTTGGGCAAAGCTGGGCTGAACCTTCCCTGGAGTTGGGCAGTGCTTCTCCAGGATGGCTGGGGGGATGATAGAGATTGTTTGGAGCCACCAGAGAAGTCAAAGTCCCAATCACTTAGCCGTAAGCTGGAGGTGAAGTCATGCAGTCATTTAACAGAAAACAGTGACGGGGCTGCTCCTGGGATGGGACCTGGGTCAGTGTGTGGCCCCAGTGTGGGGAGAGCCAGCTTGATGCTGGGGGGCCAGGCGAGGGAGCCATGGAATGTGCTGGAGCTGGACCTGAATGTCACTGAGAGACTGGCCCAGGGTCAAGGTGGGGACGTGTCAGAACTGAAGCTCCCGTGCCCTGTCCCCAGCCGGCCAAGAAGAAGCAGAGGGCCCAGGTGGTGGAGTTCTTCATCGATGTGGCCCGAGAGTGTTTCAACATTGGCAACTTCAACTCTCTGATGGCCATCATCTGTGAGTAGGCTGGCCAGGCTCCTGCTAGGAGCGCCCCCTAGAGGCCGGTGCTGGCACACGTGGGCGAGGGGCAGGGCGGCAAGCCTGGGCACTTCTCTGGGCAGGGTGGGTGCAGTGAGGAGCACATTCCCTTGCCCCCCGAGGTCCCGGAGAGGTGCCCCTTTGGGGCAAGTTTAGCCTCCTTGGGGAGCTTCGCGGGTGCTTGGCCATATGTCCCCAGATCCAGGGAGAGTGGGGACCCAAAACAGAGCTTGGTCAGGGTGCAGGGCCAGTGTGGCGGGGAGTGGGACAGGGGCCTGCACAGAAGCCAGGCTAACCCGGACACAGTGGCCACCAGCACCTGCCCACCCACCGTCCCGCCATCTGTGGCAGGCTCATCCTGCTGGGGCCACCCCCCAGTCCCCCTGCCCCAGGGAGTAAGCAGCCTGTGACACCTGGAGATCCCCCCCCAGCCCCACCCTCCCTCTTCCAGCCGGCATGAACATGAGCCCTGTCTCCAGGCTGAAGAAGACCTGGGCCAAAGTGAAGACGGCCAAGTTTTTCATCCTTGAGGTGAGCAAGGGCCGCCGAGCTGCCAGCTGGCACTGGCCGACCCTAGGACACAGCTCCCCTACTGCCTTCCTGTCTCTTTCTAGCACCAGATGGACCCAACAGGGAACTTCTGCAACTACAGAACAGCCCTGCGAGGAGCGGCCCACCGCTCCCTGACAGCCCACAGCAGCAGAGAGAAGGTAGGTCAGAGGCTGGAATGGCCTTCAGTGCTCCTCCCTACTCCCCACCTTGGCCCGGGTGGGCTGCATCAGAGAGCCTAGCTGGTGGCTCAACCCCCTGCCATTCTGCAGTATCTATATAGACAGCCATGTTCCCTGGATGCCTCCAAAATTAGGGACTCACCACCTCACAGAACAGATTACCCATGCCCAAGCAGCTCTAACTGATAGGAAGTACTTCCTTTTCAGGCTGGGGTTATCCTCTCTGGAGGGTCATGCCAAGTGAGGCTCCTCCCTCTTCTTCTTTTTTTTTAAGATATTTATTTACTGAAAGAGAGTGCAAGCACAGCAGGGGGAAGGGCAGAGAGAGAGAGAGAGAGAGAGAGAGAGAGAATCTCAAGCGGACTCCTAGATGAGCAGAGACCAATGTGGGCCTCAATCTCACGACCCTGAGATCATGACTTGAGCCGAAATCAAGAGTCAGATGCTCAGCCAGCTGAGCCACTCAGGCACCCCCTGGCTGCTCCCTCTTCTACCCACCAGTCCTTAAGCACCCCCAGGCCCCCTCTTTCCTCCAAAGCCAACATCCCAGGCCTGCCCCGCTGTACTCCAGTCTCCAATCCCCTCCGCACTTGGATCTCTTTGGTTCCTGAACAGTTTCACTTGTCAGGGTCCCTCTGTTTCAGATTAAATTGTTTCCAGTATATAGGGACTTACACCTTCTCATTCTAAATGCAATACCTTCATTGATGTAGCCTCAGATCACATTCACATGTATGACAAAGAGTGAACCAAACTTCTCACTCACTAAAACTGCCTTTTCACAGGTTCTGTTCTTAAACATTTGCACTTGGTGGGGGGGAGAAGGGGGCTTCACTGACCCTGATAATCAATTTTATTTGTCTCCCAAATTCTTCTGGTGGCCTCCACACAGGAAACTGCGCCTTGGTTGCAGTGAGCCTCTGGCTTAAGACCTGGTAGCAGCCTGATGATTATAGCTGTCATCTCCATAGAAAGGAAACGCCAGGGCTTGCGGTGCCTTTCCTGCTTGATCTCTTGGCAGGAGTATTGGAATTAGGTCTCTGCCATGATTTGTGCAGCTCTGTTTCCAGCTTGAGGGGTACCGAAACAAGCTGCTCCTCTTGAAATTGAAAGTCATTCTGGAATTGGATAGGATGGGTACCAGTGGTTAGGCTTGGGAAGCAGGCCAAGAATGCATCCTTGTGCCCCCGGGAACACCTTCCAGCCCTACACCCCCCTCCCATCAGGGGTGTTGTACACACACCCTGGCCACATGGATGGCCACGTCTCATCCAACTGGCCTGTCCTGGTCAGGCTGTGAGCCTTTCAGCAACTCTGGCTCTGAGGAGGGTTGATGCTGGGGAGCAGCATTCAGTAAGGCAAGACCTCAAAATCCAGGACAGGTGAGCCTGTCCCTCAGGAGCCAGGAAGCTAGGAAACCAGAGCAGCAGGGAAAGAGACCTTGCTTTACTGAGCACCTACCACCTGAGAGCCACTTGACTCTGTTCCCCCCCCCACCTCCCTGCATTTAATGCTGATGACGACTTACAGGGTGGAGTCTAGCAGTGCCATTTCACAGATTGAGTCTCAGAGAGGATATCTCACTTGTCCAATCACACAGCAAGTAGGCAGCAGAGCCAGGAATCAGGCTTTAGCCCCTCCAGCACACCACCAGGCTGCCTACCATTCCCAGAGTACAGGTGTGTGTGGCAGTCACAGAGCTACTGGCCTATGGCCCAGGAGTTGGACTGTGGAGAGGAGGAGCTGGCTGCAGCCTTGGTCTGAGATGTCAGCTATGACACTAGTTTTTCTTCCATCTGTGCTGGCCAGTGTCTGTGGGGCAGACTGGGATGTCCTGTTCCTGCACGCTGAGCCCCCTTCCAGCTCTGGGGTACAGGGATGCCATAGTTTAGGTCTGTGGCTAGAGGTGGATGATTTACAGAGCTGTGCATTTCATTTCACTGCATCCTCCTCTAACTTCCAAAGAGATGTGGACTATCAGCTGGGCTCACAGAAGGTGTTTCATAAATGTATGGGAGACTGGAGGATGGATGCATGCGTGGGTGGAAGGAAGCAAGCTTGCAGATGCTCTCAGAGTTTCCAGATACCCCTGCTGAAATTTTGAGGCCAAGAGATAATGGAATTCTGTGCTTTCTTCCAGGGCAGGTCAGGGAGATGCAGGGAGACCACCCTCCCTCCAGGCACAGTGAGGAAATAGGCAGGACAGGGGCTCTGGAGCCAAGCCACCTGGTCCTAGTCCTGCCCCTGCTACTTACTGCTCTGTGAGCTCGTGTGACTTACTTAACCTCTCTGGGTCTTGGCTTCTTGTCTGTCAGGCAGGGTAATAGAGCTCTGCTTCCCAGAACTTGCTGAGAATGAAACTTGATCCTCGAGAATGTGTCTGGTTTGGCACAGTAAAGCACTCAGACCCACCACCAATGCCCCTGTGATGAGGGTGTGTGTGGGGGGACTCTTTAGGTGGCCAAGACTTTGCACAGGGCTCATTCTGTAGGTGGGGTTTCTGTGACCTTCTCCTGCTACACTGGATGGGCCTGATGTGCCTCCTTTTCCCCAGCACCTGGCATGGAGAAGCCCTGGCAAATGTCTGCAGAATTGACAGATCTAAGAGGACCAGTCTGTCCCAGTTTCCCTGGGACTACTCCAGTTTGAGCACTGGAACTGCATCCCAGGGACCCCCTCAGTCCTGGACAAACCAGGCAGCTGGTCTCCCTGCTAAATCTGGCTCCAGTCCTGGCCCCAGTGTTCACTCGCAGGGTGACCTTGGGCCAGGCCCTGCCACTCTGGGGACCTTGGTTCCCCACCTGCCCTGCCCTGATGGGCCATTCATGCCTCTGTACTGTGCCATGTGGTCATGCCCAGGTCCTCACCTCAAAGACCTTATCAAGTTGGATGGGGGATGGGGAGAGCCGAAATGTCAGGGCCCGGCACCTGGTCCCAAGGGTGCCACAGATGTGTTAGTCTGTGGGGCCGGCGTACAAAGTACGCAACCTGGGCGGCTTGGAACAACAGAAATGTATTCCCTCCCAGTTCTGGAGGTCAGATGCCAAAATCAGGGTTTTCAGGGCCATGCTCCCTTCAAAGTAGATCCTTCCTTGCCTCTTCTAGCTTCTGGTGGTCCCAGTATTCCTTGGCCAGTGGCCAATCCTCTGCCTTCATGTGTGCCTAAATTGTCCTCCTTTCTCAAGGACCTTGGCCACCACAGTAGAGCTCATGATGCCCAGTGTGACTTCATCTTAGCTCAGTCCCATCTGCCAGGACCCTTTCCACCTAAGGTCCCTTCACAGGCATGGCACTGAGGACTCAAACATAGGTTTTTGGGAGGCACAGTAAACCCACGGCAGCAGCGTACAGCCAGCTGGCTCCCTGAGGCTCATCTGAGCTTCCAGCAGCAGGTGTGCCTTCTCTAGGGCCCCCAGTTGGCTCGTGCAGAACAGGCATCCCACAGTGATGCACAGAGCCCCTGCCTTCCTCCCGCTGAGCTCAAAAGTCGGACCCCTCAGACACCAGAGCAGGGCACCACAATGCAGCAGGCCTGGATCTTTAGCATCCAGAAAGGCACAAAATGACAAATCCTTATAAATACATTTTTTTAAAGGTAGGCCAGAAAAGTTTGCAAGAAGCGATTCACATTCCGTATGTAGTTAGTGGCGGGCTCAGCATGCACCTGTGCTCCTACCGGTGTGCTTGAGCCAAGAGGCCCAAGTCTGTGGATCCCTGGCACAAACTGCCACAGCCTTGCCCAGCGGGCAGTGGGGGAAATGTCCAAGGCACGCTGGGACCGTGCGTCTTTCATTCAGCCCCAGGAAGAATGGCACCATATACATCATGCGCTCAGTCTGCACTGGAGTCTCGGGCCCAGGAGGAAACAGTCTGGGCCCAGGGTCAAGGGCCTGAACCTCCTACTGACCCAGGGCTAACCGGCCCTCCTCCCCCTAGATTGTCATTCCCTTCTTCAGCCTGCTCATCAAAGACATCTACTTCCTGAACGAGGGCTGCGCCAACCGCCTGCCAAACGGACATGTCAACTTTGAGGTAGGGTGCGGGGGTCCCGGATGTGTCAGGGTCCCAGGGCAGAGGCAGAGGGGCGCTGAGCACAGGAGGAGGTGTTCAGACAGAGTGGGCAGAGGGAAGGAAAGATTTCTACTCCCTCTGAAGACATGCGCTGCCGTCAGCTCAAGTGTCCCCTCCTCCGGGAAGCCCTCCATGACCTCCCAGACAGAGGGAGGCCCATGCTCAGTGGGCTAGACATTCCTTGATCCCAGCACTGTGGTCCCCTAGCTCTTTAGAAGCAAAATCAGGCTGACCCCACCTCATGGGACCACCCAGCACACACATCTTAGAGTGGCTGGTGGGCTCAGCTCTGGGCCTGGGAGCCCCAAGAGCACTGGTCACTGAGTCAGGCAGTCAAAGCGTGCTGTACAGCAGTGGAAGGAGGAGGCTCTCTTCCTTTGGGAAGGCTGGCCTGCCCTGGTGCTGGCTCTACCCAGCCTCCAGCACCACCACGGGGCAGTCAGTTCTGGGCTGGCCCCTTGCTCTGTCTGGGCCTCAGTGTCTCCCTCTATAAAACGGGGCTTCAACTACGGGTGCACACCATGCCCAGCAGGTGTCCCCACCCAACATCTGGGCCCTTTGGCCTGAAGCTGCCTGTGCTGTGGGGCCTCACACAGTTGCAGTCCCACCCCCAACCCCCGCAGCAGACTTCACATGCCACTTGCAGGCCTGGCTACCCCTGAGGGCCTGTGTAGCAGGGGACATGAAGTCCAGCAGATGACTGGGTGCTGCATCCCCAGGAAAGTCGGACTGGAGGTGACATGGAAGAGGCTGGGCTTTCATGAGACAGCCGGGGATCATACTCTCCAGGAAAGCCTACACACACTAGGTGTGGGAAGCCCTGCATGGAGCCCTCCTGGCATGGGTCCTCAGAACCAAGACCAGGACATGAAATGCAAGGCTGCATGGTGCTCATGTGGACACAGATTTGGGACACGGGCAGTAGGGGCTGGAGCCAGCCACCAGGACTGATCAGACGATGCCATACAGTATAGTTCCCACCCACTCATGACTTTGTGCTATTTATTTGAAATAAAATCCTTTTTTTAAATTAGCACAGTTTTTTTTTAATTTAAATACATTTACTTAAATTTTACTTAAATAAAATTCTACTTAAATCTTCCTTAAATATATTATTTGCTTAAATATATTTATTTAAATTTCTTTGCATCATTCTCTAAATAAACAAACTTGTAGGGATAATCACAAAAATAAATAGAAAGAAATTAATGTTCCCATGTAGCTGGGTGTACTGCCTGCTGATGACCTAGCCCTCTCCCCAGATTCCTCAGAGAGACTGAAGAGATGTGGCAAACACCCAACATTCCCAATGGAGAAGTCTGTCATTTACTGCCTGGTGCTAGCCCTGCCCTCCCCAGAGGGGTCTCTGTGGGACAGATGAGTGGGGCTGATCTCCAGGCACTGAGGGGCTCCCATTTTGTGTCTCTATGACCCTGGCAGAAATTTCTGGAGCTGGCCAAGCAGGTTGGAGAGTTCATCACATGGAAACAAGTAGAGTGTCCCTTTGAGCAAGACCCCAGCATCACTCACTACCTGCACACCGCTCCCATCTTCAGTGAGGATGGTAAGGTGGTCCCATGGCCTCTGTCACCCCCAGCTCTGGGACTCTTGGGTGGTTTCTTAGTCATAGCTCCATTTGGGGCTCCTGCTCTGAGCAAGATGCATCAGGCCTGTGTTTACTTGATCTGAGAGGGAGCAGAGAAGGCTGCATCCCCCGGCTGGATGGTTGCCACCCCCAGAGCATAGGATAGGGCCCAAGGAGCCGCACGCTGGGACCTCAAGGGTCCCAAGGGCCAGGTTTCCCCTCGGACATAGCGTAAATGCTGTTGGGCCTCATAAATCTAAACCATCTTTCTGACCCACCTTCCTCATTGGTGAAGCTAGCATGTTGATAAGAACTACCCTCCCAGTGCTCACATAAGGAAGATGGAGCCCTGGGCTCACTGTGGATCTTTGTACAGCTGGGTATGTGTGCAGGTGTGTGTGTGTATGTGTGTGTGTGTGTGTGTGCATATGTATAATGAGATGAGGTATCTTTTCTCCAGAGTGCCATTAATGTCTGTCCCTTTCAATAAATCAGCATTCCCATCTGATCATTTGTCAAATGTGACACATTTGCTTGTGAACTTGTTAAGCAAGCATACCCCAGGAGCCCTTCAGGAAGAGAAAGTACTGGAAGCAAGTGGTCATCTGGGCCTAAGTCCATCATCCCAGGGTAGGCCCCATGGCTAGCTGCCTTCTGGATCCAAGACCCTCCACCCACCCTGGGAGGTCCCTGCTCAGCACAAAGGAGGCCTGCCTCCTCATCACAGCAGGCATTTTACAAAGGGATTCCCCACTCATGCTCAGGAGAACATTTTCTGCCAAAAACAAAAACTTAGGGGAAGGATTATTTTCATGATTTTGCTTTTAATTGTTAATACTTTCAAGTTTGCCATTTTATTGTTTATGTTTTGGAGCAAGTAACTTTTTGGAGGGGGTCTCATCTGTAACTGGGAGCACAGCAGCTTGATGGATAAACCAGCCTGGGCTACTTCCACCCCAGCAAGCTGTGTGACCCTGAATAGGTGCCTCACCCTCTCTAAGCCTCATCTGGTGCATCTATAAAGTGGGGCAATGAGAGGTCCTACTTCCTAAGCCACGGTGAAAATTACTTGAGTTGGCACAGGCAAATCCTATAGGACAACACTCAATTGAGTGTTGACTGATACTAGTTGTGTTAGTTTCCTATTGGGCCTATAACAAATCACCACAAACATGGTGGCTCAAAACAATAGTAATTTATCCTCTTACACTTATGGAGGTTACAGTCCAAAATCCATTCCACTGGGCTAAAACCAAGGTGTCAGCAGAGCTGGTTATTTCTGGAGGCTCTGAGGGGAGAGTTGTTTCCTGGCCTGTTATGACTTCTGGTGGTCACCTGCCCATATGCCTTGGCTCATCACTCCTTCCTCCACCTTCAAAGCACATCATTCCAACCTCTACTTCCACCATCACATCGTCTTCTCTCTCCTGTGGTCAAGCCTCCCTCTGTCTCCCTCTTAGAAGGACACTTGCAGTGGGAGTTAGGACCCTGCTGGATAATCCCAGATAATTCCCCAATTCTAGATCCTTAATCCCACCTGCAGGGTCCCTTTTGGCCATGGAAGGTAATGTCCACGTAATAGTCACATGTCCCAGGGATTAGGATCTGGATATCTCTGAGGGCCATCATTCAACCTACAACACTAGTCACTGGGATGATTGCTGTCAGCCAGTAGAAGTTGGGCAATAAAATGTGTCAAAGCCATATTAGAAGAGGGGTGGGGGTGGGGTCTGAGTCAGGGAGAGGAGTGAGATAGGGCATTTCATTCACTCTTTCAGCAAACAGTATCTCTAGAGAGCCCACTGTGTGCAAAGCAGTGATCTGGCTATGAACATACAAATAAAACCCTGGCCTTTCTGAAGTGTACTTAGAAAGGAGCATCTTACAGTGACCCTTTCTTCCTCCTCTCCCTCCTACCCTGAAAAAAGTGGAGAAAGCAAGAGACCTAAGCTGTGTTGGGCCCAAACTGGTCTGTCACAGCCTCTGACAGAAATCATGTCCTACCTCAGCTCCAGGCTCCCCCTGGCAGGACCCACCTAGCAATCAAGTCAGCCTTGAGGCTTCCTGAAATAAATGATAATATAAGAAGTATCAGCAAAGAAACAGAAGGTATAAAGAAGAACCAAATGGAAATTATAAGACTGAAAAATACATAACTGAAATAAAAAACTGAGTAGATGCGCTCAACATCAGAACAAAGAGGGCAAAGGAAAGAATTGATGAACTCGAAGACAGAAGAATAGAAATTATAGGATCTAAACAACAGAGTCTCAGGGACCTGTTGGACTACAACAAAAGATCTAACACTCTTGTCATCAGAGTCTGAGAAGGAAGGGGAGAAAACAGGCAGAGTTGAAAAAAAATCATCTAAGAAATAATGGCAGGAAAGTTCCCAGATTTGGAAAAGATATGCCTACAGATTCAAGTAGCTGAGTAAACACCAAAAAGGATAAATTCAAAGAAACCCACACCAAGATACATCATAGTCAAATTTCTGAAAACCAAAGAAAAAGAAACAAATTTTGAAATCACCGAGAGAGAAATGATACTTTACCTATAGGAGCAAAATGATTTGGATGACAGATTTCTCATCAGAAACTATGGTGGCCAGAGGCAGCGGCATATTTTTCAAGTGCTGCAAGAAAATAACTGCCAACCCAGAATTCTATATTCAGTGAAAATATCCTTCGGGAATTTACTACAGATAAATCAAAAGGGAATTCTAAAGACTGTTCAGGTAGCCCACAGGAAGCTGATTCTCTGAAAAGAACTATGACACTGCCATTCTACAACAAATAACTCGACAAGGAAAAAGAGAAGACAGAAATACCTAATATCAAGACTGAAATGAAGGATATCATTACAGACTCTGCAAAATTGGAAGGCTAATAAGGAAATAGCATGAACAACTCTATACACATTAATTTGACAAGTTGAATGAAATGGACCAATTCCTTAAAAAAACAAAAACTACCACAAATTCAACACAAAGTAGATTATTTGAATTGCCTTATGACCATTAAGGAAATCACATTTGTAATTCTAAAACACCCCAAAAATGAAATCTCTGACTTCAGATGGTTACACTAGAGAATTCTATTAAACATTTAAGTAAGACTTAATACTGATTCTGCATGATCTTTTTCAAAAAAAATAGAAGAGGAGGGGCCTTCCCAATTCATTTTATTAAGTCATTATTACCCTAATACCAAAACCAAAGATAGTAAGTAAAAAAGGGGGAGGGGAGTAACAACAAAGATCCCTTATGAATATAGATGCAAAAATTCCTTAACAAAATTTAGCAAATAGAATTTGGCAATACCAAAAAATAGGGGCGCCTGGATAGCTCATCCAGTTAAACGTCTGCCTTCAGCTCAGGTCATGATTTCAGGGTCCTGTGATCAAGCTCTGCATCAGGCTCCCTGCTTAGTGAGGCGTGTGTTTCTCCCTCTTTCTCTGCCCTCCCTCCCCCGCTCCACTCCTGTACTCTCTCTCTCAAATAAATAAATTAAATCTTTCTTTACGTACCATTATCAAATGAGTTTATTCCAGAGATACAAAGCAGTTCAATATTTGAAAATCAGTGTGATCCACCATATTAATGGGTTAAAGGAGAAAAATCACTCGATTCTATCAACTGATATAGGAAAAGCTTTGACAAATTTCAACACTTATACATGGGGAAAACTCCCAGAAAAATAAGAATAGAGGAGAATTTATCAACTTGAAAAATTGCATCTACAAAAATCTTTCCTCTAACATCATATTTAATGGTGAAAGACCAGTAGCAAGGCAAGGATATCTACTCTCTCCACTTTTATTCAGGGTAGTAATAGAGTTCTAGTCCATGCAATAAGGCAAGAAAAGAAAATAAAGACAGATCAGAAAGGAAGAATTAGTACTGTCCCTATTTGCAGAAAATGTAAAAAATCCCAAAGCATCTGCAAAACTCCTAGAACTAAGTGGGTTCAGCACAAGTTGAAGAATACAAAATAAAGATGCAAAAATCTATTGTATTTCTATGTGCTAACATTGAATATGTGACACTGAAATTAAAATACAATCCCATCACTCAATATAATCACTCAAATACATGAAATACATAAGTATAAATCTAACAAAGCATGTTCAAGGTTTGTATGCCAAAGGCTACACAATGGTAAAGACAGAAATCAAAGATCTAAAAAAAAAATGGAGACATGATGTTCATGAGTTGAAAGACTCACATAGCAAGGACAGAGTAGAGAGCCCAAGAATAGACCCACGCAGATATGCCCAATGGTTGACAACAGAGCTAAAGCATAAATCTTCTGATAAATGATGCTGGGGCATTTGAACATCTGTAAGCCAAAAGTGAGCCTCCACTCAGCCATACACCTCCTACAAAAAATTAACCCAAAATTAATCATAGACCCAAATGTAAAATGTAAAACTGTACAACTTTCAGGAAGAATAAAAGCAACAGAAAATCTTTAGGTTGTAGAACTAGTTAGACTTTCTTGTAAAACTAAATATGCAACTGCTATCTGACTCAGCAATTGCACTCTCGGGCATTTCTTTATCCCAGAGAAACGAATCCTTGTGTTCACATGAAAACCTGTGCTCCAATGTTTATGGCAGCTTAATTTGTTCTAGCTGGACACTGGAAACAACACAGATGTCCTTCAATGGGTGAGTGGCTAACCGCACTATGGTATATCCACACCATGGAACACTCTACAGCAAGAAAAAGGATGAAGTACGGACACACACTACAGCTTCAGTGACCTCTGGAGGATTACTCTGAGTGAAAAGAGCCCATCCCAAATGTGTACTGATTCCATTTGTATCGCGCTCTCGGAATGACAGAATCTGCACACGGGGAACCTATTAGTGGTGGCCAGGGGCTAAGAAAAGTGCCCCTTGCCAGGGCAGCACGAGGCAGTGACGAGGATGTTCCGTGTCCCGACTGTGTCAATGTCAATATCTTGCTGGTGATCTTGTGCTATAGTTTTGCAAGTGGTTCTCTCTGTGTCAGGAGAAACTAGGGAAAGGGCACACCAACCTCTTTCTTAATTGCTTCATACGACTGCATGTGGGTCTACTCACAGCTAATTTAATTTAAGAACAAAAAACAGGTCAGACGCTGAGTGTGGAGGAGGCTATCATTGCTGACCATAACTGTAATTTCACCTTGCTTCCTGACCAGGTCTTTATTTGGCTTCTTATGAAAGTGAGAGCCCAGAGAACCAAACAGAAAAAGAGAGGTGGAAATCTCTAAGGTGAGTCCGTGAGCCAAGACAGGACTGGGGAAGGACTGAGGGGAGAGGGGTGGGCGCTTAGGGCCAGGCCAGGGCCCAGGGCCTTCACAGATACCCAGGCCCACAGGGAGGGGGCAGGCCGAGCCAAGCTCCTAGGGGTGAGGGCAGAACTCAAGCCTGGGATGGGAGGAAGGCTGGGATTGTAATGGCCTCCCAACCCCCACAGCTGGAGGCTGCCCCTATGGACTGTCAAGATGAGCGTCCAGGCCCTGGAACTCCCAGTCTGTATTTTTACGCCAGAATGTGAGACAGCACCTCCTGTTTGTGCAGCCTGTAAACACAGCTGAGTGGAGGCTGGCGTGGACTCGCAACAGTGGGCTCTGAGGACTGAGCCAGGAGGGTTGTGTGGAACCCCTCTGGGGTGGGAGTCACCTGCCTAGCAGGTGACATGCTGGAGAGAAAAATAAATACCACCCTGGACATATTTAAATCTGCAGATCTTCTATTTTGGGGAAGACGTGAGAAGTGCTGAAGTGGCAGAGGAGGAGGAGGAAGAGGAGGAGGTGGGGAGGAAGTCAGCAAAAACCTTCCACAGCCCTGCCTCAGCTGGCCCAGCAGTAAATAGAGGTGTTGGTACCTCACTGTTTTGCAAACGGTGACCCTATGGCCTGGCGCCCGCCCCAGCAGCCACATGCCACAGGAGAGCTTTCTCCACCTTTCGTAAAATTTCAGCCCCAGCAGGCCCAGGGCCTCCTGACATGAGGGGGACACATGCTGCAGGGGATCTGCCTTCAGGATGCTGGGGGTCACATTGCTGATCCATCTGTCCATCCTCAGCAAGGACATGGCACCACCCCAGAACGTTGAGTGATGACTGCCACAGAGGCTGACACCCAGTCTGTCACCAGGTGGCCTGGGAGCCTCCTCCTCTCCAAGCAGGCACCACGCCAGCGGCCCCTGCCATTCTTCTGATGGACCCTACCCTGCCCCCCAATATGGGCTGGTTCCTGCAGCCCAGTTCACCCCCTCTATGGATCCTGCTGGTATCAGGGCATAGCTTTCTGGTGACGACTGTGACACAGGTCACAGGACAAATTTGAGTCATGAGAATGACCACCTGTACAGTACATTGTGAATTTCTGAGTTGGTATCAACACGTGGTATATACCCTGCATATCTACATCCAAGCTGCTTTTCACTTATGGGCCTGGGATCGGCTTCTGTTAGGATGCAGGGCAGTTTCCCAAGCTCAGGCCTGGGAATGTCATGGCCTCAGGTCAGGAGAGGGACATGGTGGCCATTTCCACTCCAGTACTCTTGTGCTGACAGGGCCTGGCAAATGGACACCCACAGCCCTGCATGTGGCCAGACACCTCTGATATTAAGGTGGGGTGGGATGGGGCTAATGAGCCCACCATGAGGCTCCTTCCTTTGCCCCCCCCCCCAGAACCTCATACACTGAGTCAAGTTTCTGGGCCAGGAAGTAAATGGGAAATGGAGCTGCTGAGCCCCCACCCGGCATGTGACCAGGTCACCCAGCCAGGAAGGCAGGGAGTACGATACATACCCGGTCTCCTGGTTATGCCTGCTGGGCAGAGGGGTGTGTGTGTGTCGGTGAATGCTGACCCACCCTGGCCAGCTCCTGGGCCCCACTTGGTGCCAGACATGCCTGTCCTGGTGGCATGAACTTGGGTCCCATCTGAGGGACAGGGAAAGGCTCCTCTGACTCAGAGAGTTCCGCCTGGTGGGCCCAGGACCTCCGCAAGGCCCAGAAGGCATAAGGATGTCAGGGTTGAGCAGGATCTGCTCTTTGCCCCACCCTGCCCACCCCCTTTCCGTCTGAGACCCCAAGAGGGTGAGTGGCAGAAGGAGCAGGGGCTGGAGCAGGGTCTGGGCTCCAGCTAGGCTCAGGCTCCCCCCTCTCCCCACCTTATGCCACATCCAGCTCCTGCTGGGGCCTCACAGAGCCCTGGGGCCCAGGAGCTGGTTAGAAGCACCTCCTCCCCTCATTCCACCACGAACAGGCCCCCCTCGCTCCCTCGCATCCCTGGGGCAGCTCTAGACAGGACCTCCTACAGACACCAGCAGGCACTGTCCCTGCCTCCTGGCCACACTGGGTACTGCGCATCAGAGGCAGGGAGCCAAACATCACAGAAGGAGCTGGTGGCCTTGGATACACACTATGGCAGGTCCAGGACTGATGCCAAGGGAGCTCAGGAAGGCTTGCTCAGGAGCCAGTTCCCACCACAGGATGTCACCTCCTACCCCAGCCACAAGGAGATAGGACACTACTCTGTCTGGCCCAGTGTTCCAGCTCTTTCTCCAAAGCCAAAGCCCTATATGCCTCCCCACAGCCATGCGTCCCCATCGCCAAGGCCCAGCTCAGTCCCTGCTCTGTCCCAGCCCCAAGATGGCAGCAGCCTCCCCCAGGCCACAGTGAGCGTGAGGAAGGCACACGGGAGACAGCAGAGCAATGCCCATAGTTGCAGCTCTGACCGTGAGACAGGGAGGTCGCTCAAGCTTGTCAGTGCCCACAAAGGGTACTGCTGGCCCTACCACCCACAGGCTGATTTGTCCATGCTGTTCCCACTCCCTGGCATGCTGTGCCCCACCTCATCAATCCAGTCAGAAACCCAGCCTCTGGGGAGGGATTCCTGACCTGCACCCTCATCTCCATGCCTGCTCCCCACCAGCCCCACAGTGGCTCAGTGCAGAGTGGGTGTGGGAAGGACGGCGGGGGAGGCCGGTACTCACCACCCCACCCCCCACCGCACTGGGTAGGTGAGGATCTTGGGGTCCCTTCACCAGGTACAGCTTCAGAGCCCTTCAAGGGTAGTGCCCTGCCATCATCACGTCTGGGACTCATGGCCCTCCCCTGCAGAGGCCTCTTTGTCCTCCTGCTGTCCCAGCCTCAGCCCTTACCACTGAGGGAGCTGGCCTGTGGGGCTATAAAGGGCAGACCCCACACCTGTGGGCAAGTGTCAGCAGGACAGGTGGTGGCCAAGACGGTGCCTGTAAGTCCGGGCTTGGTGCCGGGTGACATCACCCCTGACACGTGGCCCAGGCTTTGGGTCTCCAGCTGGCCTTTGAAGGTGCCCAGCTCAGCCACGAGGCTGGCAGCTGGGCCTCAAGGCTCCAGGGCAGCCAGTGGCCTCACTGTGTGCAGGAGGCCAAGGAAAGGGCATGGCTGTGATCTCTTCTCGTGCTTTCTTGAAGACATCCCCGACTGGGGTTTGCTTCAGAGACCCCTGGGCCTGGGCTGAGATTCAAAATCAATTCATTTTCCGAAACCCATGACCCCACATGGCTGAATCACTGGGGACACACTCCACCACGCCCAGCCCCCCAACAGTTCCTGAGGTGAGGTCTTCTCCATCATGACCCAAGATTTATCCCAGTAATCTAGCCACCTCCAGGCCTCTGCAGAAGCCCTCCAAGGTAGGACCCCAGAAGATCCCAAGGTGGTTCTCAAAGGCTGCCCCAGAGAACACCACAGACGACAACCCTTTCCCCAACAATACAGGGATTGATAGATGCCAGCACAGCCCCCGGTGCTTCGGACCTCTCAGGCAGTTATCAGACCTCGGACCATTGCTTCCCCAAGACTGCAAGGCTCATGTGAGGTTCTTGAGGAATCGGCACCCCCAAGCAATGCCCAGTCTCTAACTTTCAACAGCTGACATACCCATTGATGCACCAAAGTGGCAAGAAGCTGAGTAACGCCGTCAAGAGCCATAGTCCGGGAGTGCCCCAGCTAGAAGCTCCATTTTACCTTGAAACTCAAATGCTTCCGTCACAAGTGCCAAGTGCCAAGCTCCCACCAGTTAGACTTTACACACAGCCTAACAAACCCCAAGGGGTAGGCGCTGTCACCATCCCATTTGGCAAGTGACAAAACAGAGACTCAGAAGGACAAAGCCACTGCCCAGGGACACTCAGCTTACAGGGATGACACCTGGGCCTACCAGAATCCAGCAGCCTCCCCAGCTCTGCTGCTGAGGGTGTGGAGAAGCCAGGGGACTCCAGCTGGCCACCTGGTCTTCCTGCAAGCACAGACACAGTGACACACATCTTTCCTCCACTCCTGCCCCTTCCTTTTCTGGAAGGTCTATGCCCCCGGGTGCTCCCTGGTGTTTCAGGAGTGCCCTACAGGGTCTCACACATCCTCAAGACAAAACCTCCTGCCTGTCTCCAGCTACCCTCCATGGGCCCCACCAGGCAAAGCCATGCCTCATGCTCAGCAGCAGAAGACAGCAGGCCTCATTCCCCATCACACCACCCTTTATCACCAACATGCATGCTGTGAGGTTCATGTCCTGCTGCATGGCATCTTCAGCAAAAAATGGCTCCATTTTCACTGAGTCCTGGGGCCCTGGGTCAGGAGACAGATCAATAGGAAGACCTGGAAACATATGTGCAGCATACCTCTCAGCCAAAACTGTGCCCTTGCCCATGGCTGAACAGGGTGCCTGATACCATCTTCCTCTGGCACCCCACCCTGGGCCTCAGACAGGATCAGACAGTTGGAAAGGTTAACTGGAAATGAACAGACCTGAGTCATGAGTTGGAACCCTCACTACTGATCAGTGGGCCTTGGCCAACTGGACAAGCAAAGAGAACAGTAGTTGAGCAAAAAGGAGGGAACAGAAATCCAGTATTTCTGGGATAGAGAGCAATGGCAGGATAGACCAGCAGAGGCCAGACAGTGGGAGGTCCCGTAGGGCTGACCAAGTAGATTGGAGTTTATACTGCAGGTCTGGGAGAACAGGACAGGGGGGCAGGTATTGAAGAATTTTAAGGAGGGATGTCATGGTTAATCTGATGTGTCAATTTGACGACACCATGAGGTACCCAGATATTTGGGCAAACATTACTCTGAATGTGTCTGTGAAAGTGCTTCTGGGTGAGATTCCCACCTGAATCAGTAGACTGAGTAGCATAGATTGCCCTCCCCAACGTGGGTGGGCCTCGTCCAATTAGTTGGAGGCCTGAATAGAACAAAATGTGGAGGAAGAGAGTATTTTCTCTCTGCCTATCTTCTGCATTTGGAATGGAATATACACCATTGGTTCTCCAATGATCTTGCATTCAGCAGATCCTGGGACTTCTTAGCCTCTGTAATCATGGGAGCTAATTCATTATAATAAATCTATCTATCTATCTATCTATCTATCATCTATCTATCTATTATCTATCCAGCTATCTATCATCTATCTATATCATCTCTCTCCTATCTCTCCTTTGATTTCTCTGGAGAACCCAGACTAAACTGGAACAAGGTCAGTTTTAGAAAGATCTCTTTGATAGCTTTTAACTCAATAATACTACTTTTGTAATTTATCTCATGGGGAAAAAAATCCAAGATTAGCACAGTATTTGCATAACAGAAAAGTAATGAATGGTTACATTATTCCCTTTCCTGGGGCAAAAAGCAGGTGGATTTAGCTCCCCA